CAGCCTTATATCGCGGTATAGACCGATTCGCTGACGCCATTACTGCGGTGTCCCCTTCACTCAGGGGTGCATTCCTAAGCCTGACGAGCGCATGATTTTGGTGAGCAGTGCGCTTCCATTGGCTGACGTGGAAGCATTCTATGTGCATTTCTCTGGCCGTGCCCGAATTACTTGGCTACGGCCTACTATTACGCACGAGTCTACGGTGGTACTGGCTGCAGCCAGTTCCTATAAAATTGCGTGTAATTTCAAGCCGCAGCCGAGTGATTCGGACGTGGCCTCTTTTGTTCAAGCGTGTGGGGAGACCGCAGTAATGCTCCAGATTCTTTTCACCAGATCGGTATAGAGTTTCATTCATTGCAGGAAGAGCGCCCTGTCCGTGGTATACATGTTCTCAATGAGCCAGTTCTGTATTTCAAACAAAGGTCATTCGGGAACAAAGCACGCGCACCCGCGAGTCCGTGAAGGGCAGCGTGCTGATTGGGCAGACATCGCGCCTACGTCCGAATGACCTGGGCGCGCTTAAATTTGGGCATGGGCTGTTGGAATACTGAACTGGCTCAATAGGTCTAATACGCGAGCACCAAGCTTCAAGGTTATTAAGACTCTCTCTTTAGAAACACGATTTCCCACAGGGGTTCACACTTCTGTTTCTCTGAATGTTTGCAGCATTTCCACAAGCTCCTCAGGATTTTTAGCTTTTTCTTCCTTATTTCCGTCGGCCTTCTCGATAGAGGGAGTCTTCGGGCTCTGTTGATATTAGAAAGACAAAAAGGAGTTCAGAAACGGCCGAGGGTGCATATGTAGGACCAGAGTGCAGAGGTGTAAAAGCTGGGCTTTATGCGATTGATAATTGTTGCCATTGTTTGGAAAGTAAACGAAACCTGACAAGTTTACAGAATATCTAAGATTACAGGATTCCACGGGTAATCTCCACAGGCTGACGAGATTGAACATGTTTGGTCGGGCTAACAAACGACTGTACAATCTGCATGAGCAGCTAGCTGCCCGTCTCTTGCTAAACCACGCGTGCCAGCACTGAAAAATCCTCATTTGTGCTCATGAGCCCCCAAAGATGAAAGGGACTGGCAAATAACATGCTGCCTGATTCGGCTTCCAAACTNAGTCATGAACATGCGTTTAAGACCGGTAGGAGTAATCCACCGACTTAGCGCCACCATGGTGCCACCCACCAGTCGGTGTTAAATGGCCGCCCAAGCTCCATTCACACCCGTAAACTGGGCACTACACTGTATATACTCCTTCGTCAAGCTATACGCTTATGGGGACGACTTTTTAAAGGTTTTATCTGTTAACTTCTGTTAACTTTTAGAAGCCGGAATTGCCAAGATATGTACAGTGTATTCACTTCTGAGGCAATCAACTGGCCCCCATATATTGCTCTTCGCTGGAGATCGCCCATCCCCGAGACGAATTTTAGCAGTTGACCTGACTTGCACAAAGGAGATGCCACCATCCTTGCACAGACTCCTTTATGCCAGTAGAAATGGCTTTGTCTGAGAACCTGTCTAGTACTTAACACCACACTGTACGAATCTCGACCAGCTCTGGAAGAGAATCTGTCGGTCCAAGTAGTCGACGCAAAACTCATGCCTGTTCATGTCATACCTGTAACGCAACACCGCCCTCAAAGTTCCAGGTTTCTTGTCCAGTCACACAATGCGAAAATACCCGATGCGGGAATTTGTTGTCTCAAAACATGTACATGTAGAGCGGCCTTGCTCTTTGTTCAATACTGAAAGGCCAACTGCTTGTTACAAACCATTTTTAAAAAGGACAAGAAGCCAGATTGCGATTGGTCACGTGATGTGGCCCACCAGCATCAAACAAGAACTGAGGAATAACTGTTATTGCATTTAGCCTCTTGGTAATGGTACATAAACATTCGAATTCCAATTTATATTCCTAGTAAATACTTTATGTGACATGTTATACCTAAAACATACAAATGTCATTAACTGCGCTTTTATAAGTGTGAGGGGTGTCATGCATGTTGTACATATAATTGTGAGTATGCTGGTGTGTAGTAACAGCGCCATCATGCGGTGGCAGGGGCATTCATCATGTTTGCCGTCGCCTCCGTTGTTGGCTTGTCAGCTATTGAAATTAAATAGGTAAATTTCACTCTTCTTGGGCTTGTAAATTTCTTGTAAATCATCGAATGGGTTTCCAGGGGAGTAGAGAAATTGTTAGACATCGTGGGAAGGGTATAAATACATTATTTTATGGGTAAATTGGGCAAATGGTTTTGTTACTTTCGAGCGGTAAAATAATGGCGGCCTTATAGCAGTGTGCTCAGACAAGTCTGGTTCGCATATACATGTATATATACATATATCGGTATCGACGTTAATGGTAATTATGTGGGTTATGTAGTTTAGATCATTTGATTGAAGGAATTTACTGGTTTCGCATAAGTGTAAATTACTTGCATGTACATGTACAGGCACATGTTGGGCAAATTGTGACATGTAAATTAATGAGACGGGCACATGTACTTGAGGATTAAGTGATATGTAAATCCCTTGCTTTTTGGAGATGATTATTGCTTTAATTTTGAAATTGTTTGGAATGAATGGACTTCAATTATATTAGATTCTATCTCTAAGTTACACAGAATTAGAGAGTAATCTTCCCAGTACTTGAGGGATATTGATTTATCGTTTTTATTCTAATGTACATGTAAGTTTAGGATTGGATAATGACAATAGGGTGAACTCTTTGTTATTTCCATCAGGAGGAAGTCCACAGTGTGAATTTAATTTTCTTGGCAATTAATCAATTTGAAAGGATGAATAGATAAACTGTTTTTTCAGACATTTCCAATTTTATCACTTTAGGGTCAAACTGTGCCATTTCAATACATTCAGATTATACGTGTATAATTCCTGCCATTCACCTAGAAGGAACAATTAACTTAAGTTGTGTTTCTTTTTCTTTTGATTCCTCATGTTTGCCGTCGCCTCCGTTGTTGGCCTGTCTGCTATTGAAATTAAATAGCTATTGAAATTAAATAGAGCAATAACACCAGCAGAGATCCGAGCCCAGGGTGTTCTGGTGTGTCTTTTCATGCGCACCCCCAACCAGATAGCGCCCCTCCCACATAAGAAAAACATTTTGTGAATAATTTTTAATTAAAGCCTTCAATTGCATGCATTTAACAAGCAAAATAACAAAACATAGTTCTTTAGTTTGACTTTTCTATAAGATAATTCGAATGTTTGGTACTCTCAAGATGCTTGGATAATATCGTTATCTATCCATATGATGGTAAGTAGCCTTTATATTTGAGGTGATGAGTAGCATGTATGAACAACAAAAGAATGTCATTTGAAATGACAGCCACCTGGGTTTTCAAATACATGTAAAAATATTGATTTCTCTATTATTGTATGTACAGTCATTCACAAAAGCTTAGGACCACCCATATATAATGCATTAACCTGAAGAAAAATAAACTGAAACCAATCAATCGTGGCAACTTATGTTAATTTAATGTGTAACCTTATAGTATCTTGGTTAAAGAACTATTTAACTACATTTCCATGATTTGAAATGTTAACAGTGTAACATTTAGTGTGCCCTCCTTTATTTCTGATTGTTTACCGATGCTGCCTACTAGACAAAAAGACTTGCCTTTTCAATAAAATTAACGTATATAGTCTCAGAGCAGGACCCTGATATGTTATCATCACTGATAACATGTAATTATCCAATGAAGCAATGTAATGAAGGCCCGGTGACAGAAATAGCAACAGTAGGCCTATTCCAGGTGGTCTCCAACTTTTGCAAATGACTGTAGTGGGAAAGGAATGGCTTTAAATTGAAAGGGAGCTCAATCCAGCAAAAAGCAAAGTACTCCATATCACTAAACGTTGCAAACCAGTTAAGTTCACCTACTCCATTGACAACAACCCTTTGGAGGCAGTATGCCATCATTTAAATACCTACTGACAGACAACTTATACTGGAAGCAACATGTGGTCACTACCCAAAGGAGTGCATGAGAATTGGTTGCTTTCGGCGCAAGTGCCCGTGGAACACACTGCCCCAGCAAGTTGTAGAGTTACCAACCCTGGATATTTTCAAGTATACAGTGAATGGTGCTAGCCTTAGATACCCATTCCGTCCTATAACTATTCTTAGTTTCGTATAATTATATAGTTTTTACTTCCGCATGTTCGTCTTTTTAGACATCTTGTCTGCACCTGATTGTCTGCTCCTTAAACAGTATGCAAGTATACTCCAGTGGAGGTTTCTGCACAGGACAGGAAGATAATGGTCATGACGATGATGGCAATGAGGGGATGATGGGAATGATGATGATAGTAAATTGCAGCCTTATATTGCGGTATAGACCGATTCGCTGACGCCATTACTGCGGTGTCCCCTTCACTCAGGCGCCCATTCTTAAGCTTGACGAGCTAATGATTTTGGTGAGCAGTGCACTTCCATTAGCTGAAGCGGAAGCATTAAATGTGTATTTCTCTAGCCGTGCCCGAATTACTTGGCTACGGCCTACTATTACGCACGAGTCTATGGTAGTGGCTACAGCCAGTTCCTATAGAGTTGTGTGTAATTTCAAGCCGCAGCCGGGTGATTCGGACGTGGCCTCTTTTGTTCAAGCTTGTGGGGAAACCGCAGTAAGGGCTCCAGATTCTTTTCACCGGATCGGTCTAGAGTTTCAAGTGACATAACATGACGTCCAAATTCATTGCAGGAAGAGCGCCCTGTCGGTGGTCATGTTCTCAATGAGCCAGTTCTGTATTTCAAACAAAGGTCATTCGGGAACAAAGCACGCGCACCCGCGAGTCCGTGAAGGGTGGCGTGCTGATTTGGCAGACATCGCACGTACGTCCGAATTACCTGGGCGCGCTTAAATTTGGGCATTGGCTGTTGGAATACTGAACTGGCTCAATAAGTATAATACGCGAGCACCAAGCTTCAAGGTCATTAAGACTCTCTCGTTAGACAGGGGTTCACACTTCCGTTTCTCTGAATGTTTGCAGCATTTCCATAAGCTCCTCAGGATTTTTAGCTTTTTCTTCCTTATTTCCGTCGGCCTTCTCGATAGAGGGAGTCTTTGGGCTCTGTTGATATCAGAAAGACAAAAAGGAGTTGGCATGATGTAGGACCAGAGTGCAGAGGTGTAAAAGCTGGGCTTTATGCAACTGATAATTTAATGTAGTCATTGTTTGGAAAGCAAACGAAACCTGACAAGTTTACAGAGTATCTAAGATGACAGATTCCACGGGTAATCTCCACAGGCTGACGAGATTGAGCATGTTTGGTCGGCCTAACAAACTACTGTACAATCTGCATGAGCAGCTATCTGCCTGTCTCTGGCTAAACCACGCGTGCCAGCACTGAAATATCCTCATTTTTGCTTTGCTCATGATCCCCCCAAAGATGAAAGGGACCGGCAATATAGCTCACATGATGCCCGATTCGGCTTCCAACCCATATACTGCTGTTCCAATTGTCAGCTTGTAGTTAGCCTGCTCCGTGGAGTGAGCGCTGCAGTATATCCTTGCACAACACAGCTTGGTGTTGCACCAGTATGGATCTACTTGGGTCACATCTTTGAGCCCCTCTCCATGCATTCTTTTGTTTTATTTCACCTAGCGCACTCGTTATTTCAACATTTCACGATATTCAGTTTGCGATACCAGCCGAGCCCACACGGGAAATTCCTAGGGCAACACTGTACACCTCTAAATACCGTTGCGATGCAATACTCTCACTGATATACAGCTGACTGTGCCATTACCTTCAGCACGAAGAGCGCACTAACGCAGAAACTCAGCGTTGCGAGTAGTCGGAAAGCGGTGGTGAGCCCCATCATAGCCAGCCGGAGGCCCGGCCGGTCATACAGAAGGCATTCCCCCGTCTCCTGGCACGATTCCTGCCAGTAGGAACACTGTGTCTCGATGATTGCGCCAAAGATGACAGGACCAGGTATGAAACCTGTTGGGGTTAGGACATTTTGGATTTCGTAGCCTTTTCAAGCTCATATCTTTTTAATCATAAGATCACATTACACGTTTATACTTCACGAAGAATGCCACACATCTGTCAAAGACTTATGGGCCTCACCTAACTATTTCGCCTCATCCTTTTGGCTCTTGAAAAATCGGCCAATTGGAGCTTTTAGATTTAACTTTTTTTTATAAATAGAAACCTTATTTTATTGGCATCTATAGTGGTAAACTTACCGAGTGTCTTCGACAAAAAAGACTTCACTCCCATTGCCAGACTTCGATCTTTCTCCAAAACAGACCTGTGGTACCCAAATCGTTAAGTTTCTTAATTTACTGCTAGATGAGGCTATTGATGCAATATTATGTACAAAAACTGTAAGGTACAGGTACTGTGAAGGCCAATACACAGGCAGCCAGCAATACGGACTTTTCACAATAGTGCGCCACCAAGAGTTTCCAACCCGTTGGCCAATCACAATGCAAGAAATATGTCGACCCAGACCCATGTCCTGACGTGTCAACCCAACCTCGACCCCATGGGCTGTGTGCGCGTTCCTTTGCGCGTTTTTTGCTAATTTCTTAAACATCGTAAGCAGAAAGTACCTCTTCATCCGTTACGACTTTGGAGTAAAACCCAGTACGTGTACCCCTTCGTGCATTTTCGAATATGCCTTGACCTGGCTCTTGAAAATTCCATGTTTAGTTCATTGGGAAAGCAAAAAACATTAATTTTTACTAAAAAGTGAAACTTCATTACAACACCCTCAAGTAATTACATCCGCATAGTATCCATAAAGCCTGCATCGGTTAATAATACAGAGCTGGCATTAATTAATCAACTGAACATCAAAATCAAGTTGACAAATTGAAACTGGCCAATGTGATTTGAAACCAGTCCAAACCGTTGCTGATGACTACTGTAAACTAGTATTTTCTCCCCCCATCTCTCCTTCAATCACTGACCCATATCGCTCACCTGAAATACATCATGAACGACGGATTGAAGGCGAAGAACCCAAGTGCTGCTGTGACACCAACCATTATTACGTAGGGGATTAAAAGGGCACACGAAGAGGGGCAATCACCAGGGACGGCGAAACTCGAAGTGGTCTCGCTGGGGTCGATGCACGAGCAGTCTTCCAGGGTCTGCGCGAGACATGTTACGAAGAACGTTAGCGTTGACAGAAAAGTATATAATACAGAGATTTATATGCGCTTTCCAATACAAGATCAGGCACACTTCAACGTAACATTCATGGTTTTTGTGTGTGTGAGTTTGTTTTTGCATTCAAAACATGTACAAAACATGTGGGTGGTCTTCTTAAAAAGTAAAAACATAAGAGGAACAACAAGGGGTCCCTGGTTGCAGGCAAATACACACTTGTGTTTGTGTGTACCTCACTTCAGTTGGTACAGTGAAACAGCTTCTGATTTGCTTTTCTAATTTGGTCATTATGCTATACCAAAAACCCGTTGGATTTGGAGCTTTGATTGGGTGGACTTTGTTACCCACAGTGCTTTGCGGCATTCATGAGTAACAGTTTACAGTAGGGCCTATCGTCTGTTAGTTCAAAAAGTACAGATATTAGGTTTCATATCAACGTACTGTCTGGCTTTGGTTTTTGGTCAGTGTTTGACAACCAGCGAAGCAAGCTGTGGCGTAGGTGACGTTGTCAGATCCGCAGACAGGCGAGTAAACGCCCTTCTCACATGTGCAATTCATATTGCAGGCCGAGTACAAATCTAGGCTGCAAAAGGCAAGTACCAAACGTTTGAAAAGCAACTTTTTAAACTTTTAAATTTCTACCTACCCCTAATTATGTATGCAATTACACCTTAGAAATAGTTTCTTAATATTGAGATCAATCTTAGTCCAAATTTAGACAAATTGAAAAAAAAAGATGCAGTTCAGTCGCGCAGGCTGATAGGCCTACGCAACAGTTTGGACCGAAGTTCATCTCTCTTGCCTATGATAAAGCAACCAGTCTTTGAAGTTAAATACAGGCCTTTCACTAATACCTGTTCCTATCATTCTCTATAATCAGTGTTAGAAAGAATCATTCTCCTAATGGATTCGAGAACGAGGTTAAACCCTCTCAGCTTCAAAGTTATCTGGTGAACCTTGGTTTCGTCAGAACCTTTTGTCTCACCCGTTCGTTGCCGTGTGGTTCAGCACCTTATAGTGTGTAGTCAGTCCGGCAACATCGTTGTTGGGGCACCCCAAGAACATCAAGATGAAGAACACCAAAACGGCCAGACTGTGAACTGCCAGAGTCAGAAAGGAGTAGCCACGCTGGTTCCCAGTCAAGCGCCACGTTACAATGCCTCCAAGCATTAGGCCAAGGAGGGAACCTGGGAGGTGTGCAAAGCCTGTAGTGTGGCAAGAGAAAATGGGAACGGGGTCCAAAATACACACGGATGACAGTGATACCGTGCAAAGAACGATGTAGGATGCAACATATATCATACAAACAACATTACCAAGTAACATTCCTGCCTCGGACGGACTCGCACCGAACTCAAACTGGATGTATTTGGCAGAGAATACAACAAATCCGCTGAAGCTCAGATTCCACAGACAGAACGCAGCCATGGAGGACATGAAGATCACGTTGGAAAGGAGGCGCCCGAGAGATGATAGAAAGTCTGCCAAGAAAAAGGAAGAAGTTCTACCAAGATGGCGAGGGTCAAAATCTGCTCAGTGGAGGATCCAGACAGCATGTATTGCACCAGATGGGCCTTTTTTGGTGCTTTGTTAGGGTAACCGAACTGACAATGAACAACCTATAGGCCTATATTAATTTACTGAGAAAACATTGCTACAAATGGTACGACTCAGATAGCGAGACATGAGTACTTTGAGGCGAAAAAATTAGTTTACGACCGGGCAGCAAAATGATATTTTTACGCCAACGTTGACGTCAGTATTTGGACATGCCGTGAATTTTGCCGTAAATATTGACGTCAGCGTTCACAATTTGTGAAGTCTGTACAGCCACGTACATACTTGTGCGCTACCACCAAGGAATATTTTTCTTTCCAGTAGGCTGTCTCATCTTTTGATGGTGAGTGGTATTTCTAGTTAGAGGGGATAGCCTGCCAGAAGACTCAATCCTGTCACTGTACTACTCACACATTCAATGAAAAGAAAGACAAAGCTAGTTGTTGATACGTGATTTTTAAAAAACCTTTTTAACTTTTCTTCGTGGCCTTGCACTTATTAAACCTATGCATATATATGGCATTTTTGCCTGCACTTGAAGTTATACCTTTGACAACTGACAGCGGTTCACCGTGGAGTGTCTTGTGAGAAATCGCTCCTCCCGTCATCGATACATCCTCGGTGAACTGCCCGCCTTGCCCCTTCCCCATCAGCGCTGTGCAGCAGTCTGGCACCCCGCTGAAACAGCAGTACGACTTGGATTTGTGCATCTTTCGCGGGAAAAAGAAGCAAGGCACGGAGACTAAGCACAGGTAACAGCCGTAGATGACGAAGCCCAGCCACCATGCCCCTTGCCATTGGGGATCCTTGGGGCCGATCTCGAGATGGGCGGCGTCCGTTTTGTAATAGTCAGCAAAGATCGACAGGCAATAGCCGCTCAGCGAGAAACCGACCAAGGGAACGATTGTGATGGGGAGCCACATCAGTGCTGTAATGCAAACAGAGGAGGAAAGAGGAGCAAGCACGGAGATTATGGGCCTATTTTGTTTCACACGGATCCGGATCTCAGTAATCCCAACGCTGGTCCGCTTCGGAGCTATGTAAAGAGTTGCGGCATGAGTGTTGGAGCCAAAATGGTGGATTATGTGTCAGTACACGTGTAATATTAGCACTCAATAAATGCATGCTCTACGGCACACATAATGACCAGCCATTTTGGTTCCAAGGTCTGAAGTTGACGCCACTCTCTCTACAGGTACTGCTCTTGTTCGCTCTACGAGCACGAGGCGGGCTCTGGTGTCAGTGAACCAACAATCAACGGATCACTGATCAGGATCCAGACCCTTCGTGAAACAAGCAGGTCCTAACACGGCTGTTGACGATGAAGGCAACGGTGTACAAATTGACGACGACGACGACATAGTAGTACTTTACAACACAACTGCATGGCCCCTCTTGTGTGTACCATGAAAGCACACCATACAGCAAAGTAGACGACAACATGGACGATGGTGTCCTTGACGAGAGGGAAATGATAACAATGACCAAGATGACATAAGAAAGAACAGAGCTTATAGGAACCAGGAATGAAGATGATGAGAACGCGGAGGAAGGCATACGACGAAGCTTGGGATGACTTAAGACATTGGGGCTAAATAACAAAACTTATTCCCAATTGATGATCAAACGGAAGAATCCCTATTGAACAAGGTGTCGGTGCGTGATTACACACACCTCTCCATTAAAATAATGATGGGGGTTATACAGTGTATATAAACTTGCGGAAAATGGGTAAGGACTGGAAGGTTTAGCTCGAGATTTCCATTAGAATTGTCATTGAGGCCTGTCGGAGTGGTGGGATTTAAAGCTAATACATGAAGACAGAAAACCCGTCCAGCACATTATAGAACTGTGGACCTCACACAATGTTACCTAGGTACATGGGCAGCAGGCTTTTCTCCACGGCGTCGTCCACGTAGGTCACAGCGAGTGGCGATAAGCCCGTGGAGCCCAGGCCGGCCAGTAGCTGTCCAATTATCAGGGCCCAGGTCTTGCTCAGCTGGGAGCCAGACGCTTCTATCTCATCAGCCGTGCACACTGTGGCGTTCGCCGTCCCGGAGTCACACAGTAATTCTGCAAGTAGTGGAGTAGAAAACCTTGACTGCTTCCCCGTGGAGTAGATATGTACCGTATCATACACGATCTGGTTGGATACATTTTATCACCATTAAAACACTGAGGTTTTGTAGATCAACCAACACGAAGACCTTAGCATGATGTGCCAGACTTGCTACCAATGTTGCCGGAGCACTACACGGAATTAGTTCCAATAACAAGTGTACATGGGTACCCCCATCCCGATATATTATACTTTCATTAGGCGTCCAAAAATGGTTGTGCCCCTCTAAACTTAGTTGAATCTAGCCTATATCGATCGTTTTTAAGTTGCGTTGGTTACATGTCTACTGAAGAATTCGAAGTGCCCCGGTAAAGGGGTGGGGGGTCGCCAATACAATGGCCTTTTATGGTATTTCAAGTCTTCTGTTTGACATGACAATCAGTAGAGAGTGGTAATGAGCTACCCATAAGGACCTTGTAATCTCTGTTCTTCACAAAAGAGTCATGAAGAGCTTTCAGTCTTTACCAGAACCCTACTCTGGCCCAGTGATGTGAAAGTTAAAAGGGCGATCCCGAAGAGATTTTAAATTCTCCTTAACATAAAAATACCCCCTTCTGTACTTCATTTATGTGTCAGGAATAGAGGGACCGAAAATCAAGAATTGTAGCTTTCCACATTATTGTGTATGACCTTTTCTCTCTCAGACGGGTGCAAATAAAACAATTTTGGGCGGAGAACTTAGAGTTTTCTGATTTTGATCTGAATTCTGTGGTGCCTGATCTGACCTTCCGATCGGTTGCCATCTTCGCTGACAACTAGCCCCTCCAGGTCCATGGAGTTGTCGTACAGAAACTGGGGTAGTGCTGACATGAAGCTGCCCAGGGCAACCACGAGGCCCGAGATGCCGATGATACGTGGTCGGTGGTATCTGCATGCGATGATGAGACAAGAGTTGGTAACTACTCGGTTTTCCCAGTGACAATAAACAAGTTCAAAAATGCTAATTTGGGCAGGAATCAAACAACCTTTAAAAACAAATTTTTCATAAAAGAAAACAGAGTAAAATGCAATCCAATCTAATCAATTTGCGAACTTCACGGAAGCCCCTTCAGCCGTGCCCAAGACCCTAAAGAAATGCTTCTGAAGCTTTGACAGAATTCAGGTGTCGTTTGGTAATATATTACCAGCCTGCTTTAAACGCTGGCATTTTGCTTTGAAAGCGCGCCCTCGTTTACTAGCAGCGGTAGGTAAGCAGATTGGGTGTTATATCGCTTTATTTTAATTTATGTCTTATGTGGCCGTACTACTGCGATCTAACGCCGTAATTTCAACAGGCCATTACGCTGGATTGGGACATTTACTGCATTGTAGGTCGGCATTGTTTTATGCCCATATGTATATGTCCACAATCGAGGAATGAACACAGTAAATATTTGTCGTAATACAGCACTACAAAAATGTTTTACAGTATTTTAATTCAAGTGCCCCATGCTGTAAAAGGTACATGTAATAATGCAATGGTGCGACGGTATAATGGCCGGCGTACAGCATACGAGTGTGAAAGCGAGACAGTTAAATTTGACATCGTGAAAGATTTGCTGCAACATTTCACTAGAATTGAAATGGTTCGCAAATTCGCAACGCAAATATTGGATTTGTCGTAACAAATTAGCATTTTTGGTTTGCTTTCGTGCCAAGTTTGAGTCGGCCTTAACGCGATAGTACAGCAATATCATGCTGTAAGGAAAAGATTGGTCAGCAACAAATTAACCAATACAAACCACTGTGCTTACTTCCCCCCGATGTGTGCGACAAAAAGCACCCCACAGAGCGCCGATATGTCGTTGAGGGACATCAGCAGTCCGGACTCAGAGCTCTTGAGCTGGAACCTCTTCTCGATGGTGGAGATGACGGCGGAGAGGTAGATCCCCGAGCACCCGTACACGCCCAGGTACAGCAGGCCCATCATCAGCACGAACGTGTTGGGGTGGGCCACGGCGCGCATCAGGCGGCGGCATACCGCTCTTGATCTTGCGCCGAAACCCGGGCACGGCGACTCTCGTCTGGGACTCCAGTCGCCTTCATCTTCGCTGATGAAGTCATGTGCGCCGACGTCAGCGTTGTGCTTTGGTGGCTCCTCACCGCGAAGGTGATGATACTTGGGCTGCAAAGCGTCTTTCTGATCTGTTGTCATTTTTAGCGGTGCCCCAAATCAGCTTCTAAAACGACCATGAAGAAGACGCCGACTTGTACCAACTGGCACCTTCCCCTGATGCGGAGTGCAAAATTCTTAGCGGAAAACTAAGTTGCGTATCGTTATTAAAAACCTGATCTATGGACTCAAAACAAGATTCGTCACTGATAGTAGGAAATGCTCTTAACGTTTCCGTGTAATTTCTATTAAAGGCGGTAAAAGTCATTAAGGCATGCACAATTCTAGGGGCCCTATTATTCAACACTGACCCTTTTGCTGAGTAAATGCTCTTGTAAACGGACTGTATTTTGTGTGCGTAATCACTTGGGTTTTGCAACTGTTGTTATCAAATATTTCACAAACCAAGGTTCATGATCTGAGCATACTTTAAGGCATTACTGTTAAATCTGAAACAGCGACACCAGCCCATCAGTGACAATGATTTGGCGTGATTTTCGATGCTTTGCATGAACCATAAAGAACCAGCTCCGTGCATAAACAAACAAGATAGCTGGAGCTTTGCTCCATCCTATTATTAACTCATAGTTATAGGCTTTCGTGTAAACTGCTGGTGGTCTTTGATAAAGAATGTGAACTTTGAAGTTTGAGGAGATATGACAACAACTTTTCGAAACCAGAAAACGTGCTAAAACCGTACCTATGATTGTGATTAAGTGAGGATCAGTCGATGCACCTGATGAAAATCATTCTGAACGAGGAATGACGAGATTCTGACAGTATCTCCTCTGATTCCAATACTATGATTTGCATATCCTGATGAAAAACGAAAAAAATACTACAAAACAAAAAGAAAGGAATAAAAAAGCCCCCAAACATGGATCAATGATTAAGCAATCTCGCCCCCCCCAGGAAATCGTCAGAGACACCACGAACTGAGACGCTGTGGTGCACGAGATGATCCAATTTGTGCGCACTTTAGAAAAACGAGTAATTTTCGTTTTTACGAAGCTTATATTAGGCTGTGTCCGAAACGGGCTTCCAGAGCTACGGCTAACACTATTGTCTTCGCGTCTCCATGTATTTTCAATGCATTGCAGACGTAGACCTAGCTCCATCCTAGACAACGGATTCGGGTGAAGCCATACATTCATTTTCCCAAACACCCCATCCATTTAATGTCATCATCCTTGTGCGTGTTGTCCAATAGAATCTCCTTATTTATTATGGACTTGGCGTTCATGTTGCGAGCCGCATGCACACAGACTCTTGACCAATCAGAATCGATTAAAATGTCCCGTATCCAGGTGCCAGCGCGTGAATTCCGCATAGGCACCAAAGTTCGTATAGCGCTTCGCGGCGCTATATGATCTTTGGTAGGCAATGTCACTTCTCAGCGGGCATTATAAACTTTACACGGTCAAGTTGCATGTCGTTGAATAGGGAGACTGTACTCAGGGGTATTTGTGAATGTGGAATAATCATAGAAATCATAAGTGATCTCTATGAGAATAATGGATTCGCTGTTCAAACCCGAGTGAGGCGCACTTCGTAAACGTCTATAGCCACAGAGGTTCGACAGTCGATCCATTCACAGTCGAGTGAGCAGGTGAGATTTGGATGGATTGATTATTTCCTTCAATTATATGTTTTATGAATTATAACAGTATCAGTAGGCTAACAAACAAACAAACGTGGCAACATTTCAAATTTTTGCCGCGAAATTTTCCTCCAATTAAAATACCTTTTCAGGAAATCGTAACGCAAATACTTGATCTGATGTCACAAATTCGCCTTCTTTTTTTGCTTTTGCGTGAAGTATGTGAAATATGTATCGTTCTTTACGCCAGAAAAGTTGGCCTAGTCTACAATGGTCAAAGGTCAGATAGGAACCTCTTTTTCACTGACATGTAATGAAATAAAAGTACAGTAAACCAATGGAGATGACAGTACTACCATACTACCATGCAAAATCCGAGGGGTGAGACAAAACGAAAATACCATGTCAGGGATCAATTATGTTAAGCTGTAGGGCAGACAATATCGCTGACACCATCTTTTATTTTTTTTTGTCGTAAAACTTGTTTACATGAAGAGATTTCCGAATGTATGGATCCTCAATAAACATCCCCCAAAAAGATTGCTTCTGGAACCGCCCTTGAAGCGAAAAATGAGATTCCCTTCACATAATTACTGAGACACAATTCTGTTTCTCAAAATATTAAATTTTCTTTCATAATTCATTATTATATCAAAACAATGTATTTTATTGAAGGTAAAAACAGCAAAAGGGTTTTAATGTTACCATAACTGAGCCTCTATAATTGAAGACAATGAGTAGCAAAATTTATATGCATAACAAAGGAATGCCTTTTTAGAAGCACAGCCACTAGGTTTTGCAAATACACATGTACAAAATCTTCCTGAATTCTCTATAATTGTATATATAGCAGATTGCAGCATCATATCGCGGTGTGTACTGTACAAAGCAAAAACAATAATGAAGGCCTATAACATTTTTTCGAGGAGTCTAAAAATCAAAAGGCATTTTGGGCTGATCTTCTTGGCAAGATATCTTTTCCATCTGACAAGATATAGCCTGCCATCTTTTCAGAGTGACGAGTGAATTCCTTTCTTTTCCAGACATGTTCAATTACACCAGTGCTCGTTTCCTGGGTTACTGTTCTCAGCGAAGTTTGATATGCGTTCATCAAGATTTTTTCATTTAGACTCTCTCGTTCAGTGGCGTAACTATAGAGCTAAATGTTCGGGGGCACCCGGAGGTGCACAAGTTTTAAAGGGGGCGCCACAAGAAAATAAGCTACAAGTGCATATAGCTGTATACAATCAATGAAGATTATTCGCAGATTTCAAGGAGGCACCTGTGGACACGTGCCCCTGTTCCCCCCCCCTTACGCCACTGCTCTCGTTAATAACATGACTTGCGACAGGAATTCACACTTCCGTTTCTCTGAATGTTGGCAGCATTCCCACCAGTTCCTCTGGTTTTTTAGCTTTTTCGTCCTTACTTCCGTCTTCCTTCTCGATCGGGAGATTCTTCAGGCTCTGTTGATATTAGACAGACAAAAGACATTGCTCGATTAAACGTGTTTGGTCGAATTAAACAAACCACAATCTGCATGAAAGCAGCTACCTGTCTTTCGTTAAAGCACATGTGTCGACAAGTTAACAGGCCTCCTTTTGCACTCATGTACTGTTGTTATCGTTGCGCCAATAGATATACGTTTATGCACAACCTTTGTTATTTAATCAGCATCACATTACAGAGTTATAGAACAAGGTCCAGTTTTAGAGGCAGGAGAAAACCGGAGTACCCGGAGAAAACCTGCGAGAGCTAGTATGGACTGGAACCAAATGCACTTAAAGCCTGGGCCAAGCCGGGACTCGATCCCGGGCCTCACTGGTGCAAAGCGAGGAAAGAACCGCAACGCTAACACGCTAGCCCGCACCCCCCCTCCCCGTGTACTGCTCAGTCTTCCGCTTAGATTGTATAAGTAGCCTGCTCCGTGAAGTGAGCGCTGCAGTAGAACCTGTACAATATAGCTTGGTGGAGCGATAACATATGGACCGACGTGGGCCATGGCTTTGAGCCCCTCTCCATTCATTTCTATTGTTTTGTTTCACAGTTGCACTCGGTATACGTCAGCATTCCACAATATTCATCCTGTGTATACCAGCCAAGCCCACACACGAAAATCCTTGGTCAATACCATACACCACTGAATACCTTTAGTGATGCAACACTATCACTGAATTATGGTGGCCTTGGAGGGACATCGTCAATCGTCAATATTGTGTTTAAAGGGTTCACGCGCACGCGCAGTACGACCTTCATTTTTCGGCTTGATCTCAAGTCGTTATTCGGCTGCTCAGTTTTGGCACAACGCAGGAGGGCACAACGTTAAAAAGCAATTGCTGTGTGTATAGCCGAGCAACTTCTCTCTCTACCTGGCTTGCTGGAAAAAAATTCGCCGCATGATATTTGCGACTGGAGATACAACGAATCGTGACTTTGGTCGTGAATATTGACGCCAATATTCGCGACCAGAGGGCAAGTCGTGAATATTGACGCCAATATTCCTGACGGAAGAGTGGGTTGAAAGTCTGGTGGCAGATATTGACGTCAATATTGACGATGTCCCTCCAGAGCCACCATACTGATCACACCTGACACAGCATCATTACCTTCAACACGAAGAGCGCACTAACGCAGAAACTCAGCGTTGCGAGTAGTCGGAAAGCGGTAGTGAGACCCACCATAACCAGACGCAGGCCAGGGCGGTCATACAGAAGGCATTCCCCCGTCTCCTGGCACGATTCCTGCCAGTAGGAACACTGTGTCTCGATCATTGCGCCAAAGATGACCGGACCAGGTATGAAACCTGTTGGGGTTAATACATTTTAGATTATAGCCTTTGGAGCTAATTGTCCTCTTCATTATAAGATTACATTAATGTGCACATCTGCCACAGCAGTCAGGGCTAGACGTGCCCCGTAAAAAGGAGAGTATTTCTGGTATTAGACACCTGAATTAAGTTGCGTCTAGTGTCGTCTACAGTCTCCTTACCGAGTGTCTTCGTCAAAAATGACATAACTCCCATCGCAAGGCTTCTATCTTTCTCCAAAACAGACCTGTGTGTTAACAAAATAGGTAGGTTTTCTAATTTACCACAGCAGATGAGGCTGTTAATGCTATAGACTCTACTTTGTACGGTACTTAATTAGAGTCACGTAAAAGGAGGCACTGTGCATAGGCAGCCAGCAATAGTTGCAGAGTGCAAGAAGGAAAGATAAGGCAAACGTTTACGTCAAGCCTCCGTAAGAATCGTCGGCAGGGAGTACCTCTTTATACAATTATGTGGCTTTGAAGCGAATTACGTGTCATCCCCTTCAGTTTCCCCATTTAATGTATACCATGACTTGCTTCTTGAAAATGCCATGTTAAGCTCACTTAGTAAGCAAACTCATTAATAATTACTGGTAAATGAAACCGCAACGCCGTCAAATATTCTCGTCTCCATTATCCACAGAGTATGTACCGGCAATTAATAAACCTATAACAAAACTAATAAAATTAATTTATGAACTTCAAAATCAATCGGACGGTTTGAAACCGACCAACGAGATGTGAATTAAACCAGTCCAAAAACATTACTTATGAACACTATAAGCCACCTTTTTTTCTCTCAAACACTGGTGTTACTCACCTGAAATACATCATGAACGAAGGATTATACGAGAAGGACCCAGTTGCAGTGGAGACACCAACCATTATTACGAACGGGATTAAAAGGCCACACGAAGAGGCGCATTCACCAGGGATGGCGAAACTCGAAGTGGTCTCGTAATGCGGATATCTTTGCTCGCTGGGACCGACGCACGAGCAGTCTTGGAGGATCTGCGTGAGACGTTTTGCAAAAGGTGTTCACATTGGAAGAAAGCGTTACAGATATTTATATACCCTTTCCAATGCACTCAGTGAAAAGCTTTGAGTTTAATAATTAGCTCATTAAGCTATACCAAAAACCAGTAGCCTGGGAGCCTCATTCGGTGACTTTGTTACCCACGGTGCTTTGCGACATTCTCGTTCATGATCTACAGAATCTTAAAAAAAATGGGTTAACTGTCACTCGATCCTTTGAATAGGGCGATGGGTTCCAGTTTACTCTATTGTCTGTTATTTAAGAAAGTGCAGCTAGTAAGTTTCATATAAAAATACCGTCTTGCTTTGGTCTCTGCTCAGTGATTGACAACCAGCGAAGCAAGCTGTGACGTAGGTGACGTTGTCAGATCCGCAGACAGGCGAGTAAATGCCACTTTCACACGTACAATTCATATTGCAGGCCGAGTACAAATCTAGGCTGCAAAAGAATTGAGAGTTTTGAAAGCTGTAAGAGTGTGTCCGTGTTTTTCTTCCTAACTAAGCACGCATGAGGTTACGTCTGAAAAATAGTTTTTGTCCTTGACAGCCCTTGTTCATTTCATTTACTCTTTTAATGTCAAAAGATGTAAAATAACTAACTAACTAACTAACTAACTAACTAACTAACTAACTAACTAACTAACTAACTAACTAACTAACTAACTAACTAACTAACTAACTAACTAACTAACTAACTAACTAACTAACTAACTAACTAACTAACTAACTAACTAAAGTTGAGCCAGGTTCAACTTTGCCGACTCTCTGCATTGAGTCGTTGAGTAGGCCTATATAAACACACACGGCTGCATGACGGGCGTACAACGATGTTTCTCTCGCTTTAGTACCACTCGTTTTGTCCATATTCGCCTTGTTACCAAGATATTAGGGCCACAGCACCAATCTTCAACAAAATAGCTGACCAACAAATTACATCAAACTGGAGTATCAGTTTGGTTTCAAGAGGCAACATTGGCACCTAAAAAGGCATTTTTGGCGAAAGTTTTCCGAGTCTCGGACGCCATTTTTTGTTTAATTTTTTGGTGAGACGACGTCGCGCAGTGTCTCTTCCGCAAAGGTCTGCCTCTTGACGTCTTGCGGATCGTCTGCGTTACAAACGACCATATGAAAACCACGCTATACAGTAGTCAAGCGGGTCACGTCAGCTGACACGAAACCACTTTCTCCCACGTCCGTCTCTCTTACTGCCCAATTCAGTAGCATCCTGGGTTCACCATATTGCATACCCCAAGACAACACAGGATTGGATTTGAAACTTTGAGGCCCTTTCACGAATATATTTTCCTCATAATTTAATAAGTGTTGGGAATATATCTTTCTCCTCATGGACACGTAATCAAGGTTCGAGCCTCTCATCAGCCTAGCAAGGTTTACTTTTCGGGCGAAATCATTCTTTTACACCTCAGTGGATGGTGTGGTTTGTGGTTTCGTCCAAACATATATTCTTCATTATGTCTCACCCGTTTGTTGCTGAATGGTTCAGCTCATTATACCGTGTAGTCAGTCCAGCAATGTTGTTGTTGGGGCACCCCAAGAAAGTCAAAATGACGAACACCAAAACGGACAGAGTGTGCATAGTGATGGAGAGAAAGGAATAGCCGCGCTGATTCCCAGTCAAGCGCGATGTTATGATGCCACCAAGCATTATGCCAAGGAGGGAACCAGGGAGGTGCGTAAAGCCTGTAGAGTGGCAAGAGAAAAGAAGAACGAGATACGAAATGCACACAGACGACAATGATACTCAAAAAACAACGATGTATAATGCCAGTTAAACTCCTTTAAAGAAATACCTAATAACATTCCTGCTTCGGACGGACTCGCGCCAAACTCAAACTGCAGGTATTTGGCAGAGAATACAGAAAACCCGCCGAAGCTGAGAACCCACAAACAGAAACCAGCCATGGAAGACATGAAGATCACATTGGACAGGAGACGCCCGAGAGATGACAGAAAGTCTACCAAGAAAAAGGAAAGACAAAGTTTATGGAACCGGCCAAGACTATTTTTTACTTCATGGAGGAGCAAGGCGTAATGTCTGTTTTGGTGATGTGCTGGGGAAAGTCAAATGACGCTGAGCAATCCAGCTCATTGAGAAAAGTTGCCACCAGTAATACAACTCAGCGGGGCATGAATATTTTGTGGTGAAGATAAATGAACGTAAAAATAGTTTGCAACTGGATAGCAAAACAAGATTTTCACACCAATGTTGACGTCAATATCAGGACAAGTCTTGAATTTTGCTGTCAGTGTTCGACACGTGCCCATGCACCAAGGGGCAATTTTCCACACTAGCTCGTCTCATCTTTTGCTGGTGAGGGGTACTTCAGAGTGGATAGCCGGCAAAAGGAGGTCAATCCAGCCAGTGTACTACCCATGTGCAACCAACTTTAAACCTAGTTTGTTGATATTTTATGATTAATTCATTTTAAAACATACTTCTTTTAAACTGTTCGGTTTGACCTGTCCTAGTGAAACCTAGGACTATAGGGCATTTTTGCCTGCACTTGAAGTCTTACCTTTAACAACTGTCAGTGGTTCACCAGAGAGTGTGTTATGAGAAATCGCTCCTCCCGTCATCGACACATCCTCGGCGAACTGCCCGCCTCGCCCCTTCCCCATTAGCGCTGTGCAGCAGTCTGGCACCCCGCTGAAACAGCAGTACGACTTGGGCTTGTGCATCTTGCGCGGGAGAAGGAAGTAAGGCAAAGAGACTAAGCACAGGTAACAACCATAGATGACGAAGCCCAACCACCAGGCCCCTTGCCATTGTGGATCCGTGGGGCCGATCTCGAGTTGGGCGGCGTCTGTTTTGTAGTAGTCAGCGAAGATGGACAAGCAATAGCTGCTCAGCGAGAAACCAATCAATGGAGCGATTGTCATGGGGAGCCACATCAGTGCTGTAATGCAAACCATAGGGGAATGAGGAAGATTATGGGTCTCTTTGTTTCACACGGATCTTGATCTCTGTGATCCCAAAAGTTGGTTCGCTCGAGAGCTGTTTAGCCTATAGAAAGAGTTACGGTGTTAGTGAATCTAATTTTGGAACCAGAATGGTGGATTATGTGTCAGTGCATTTGGACAATTGCCACTCAATATTACATGCTTTTGAACAGCCATTTTGGTTCCAAATGTGAAGTTGGCGCTATATTTGCTCTTTATACAGCTCTAATTCGTACCATCCATTTTCAGCGGCCTCTGATGTCAGTGAATCAACGACGGATCACTGATCAAGATTCAGATCGGTGTGAATCAAACAAGCTCCAATGATATCGGTGACAAAGGACTAGGTCCTGTTGATGGAAATAGTTGACTCTTTACGATGAAGAAGACGCGTAGTAATGATGACAACATGTGATATATCACAAATGTGATATACAACACCATTACATTATATCCCCCTTGTTTAGGATAAAATAGTAAAGGAGGTGGCACCATGCATGGACAATGGTGTTCTTGACGAGAAAGAAATCATGACAAAAGAAATATACTGGAGGAGGGGGCACCGGGAAGGATTATGATGAGAAAGCGGGAAACTGAAGAAGAGGCTCAAGACGGCTTAAAATACATCAGGGACGATGTATTAAACAACATTATTTCAAATTGTGAGATGGTCAGGGTCTCGTTTTCTTGATCTCCTGATCTCTATTCATAAAAATCAATAAATTTAGAAGACGTAGGTAGGGCCTAGTAAAATTCAGTTAGGTTTAGGCCAAGGGTTGGGGTAAACCATGCTCAGGCAAGTAAACAGGTCCATCACAATTGCCATTAACCGCAGTTGGGATACCGGTAGTGGGTCTATCTGCACTTCACATGATAAAAACCAGAGCAAGGGCATGTCATATTTGACTCAATGACCCCACAAACTCTTACACAGGTACAAGGGCAGCAAGTTTTTTTCCACGGCGTCATCCACGTAGGTTACGGCGAGTGGCCCTAACCCCGCTGTGCCCAGGCCGGCAAGTAGCTGGCCGATTATCAGGGCCCAGGTCTTGCTCAGTTGGGAGCCCGACGCTTCTATCTCCTCGGCCGTGCACACCGTGGCGTTCATCGTCCCAGAGCCGCAGAGGAATTCTGTAAGCGAAATGTACATCACAAACACTGACTTTTTCCCGCGTAGATACACCGAAATAAGTTAACATTATGTTAACCAATCCAACACGAGATCTTAGCACCATATTACCAGTGGCCGGTGCTGAGATACTAAAGTGAATGAGTTCACATTGAATACTTGTACCGGGGTGGCCCTATCCCAGTATATTATGCTGACACTAGGCCCAATTTAAAATGGTTGCTCCCCTCTAAAATAAGTCGAATGCAGCCCCGACCAATACGTCGGTGACATGTGCACTGAAAAATTCGAAGCACCCTTGCTAATGGAGAAGGAAATTGTGTCAACGTTTTGTGCCAATAAAATGGCCTTCTATAAGACATTCCATATCTATTTTTTGACATGGATATCGGCGTGCAGTACTTATGAGCTACCCATAAGACCTTTCAACCTCACAAAATGCTGTGAAGACCATTCGCATTTTCAGACATGGGGGATGTGAAAGTTTATGAGCAATTCCCGCTAAGAGATTTTAGAATGTTTTGGCTCAGTTTTTGAGTTGATTCCGCGGCTCCATGATTTAACCTTCCGATCGGTTGCCATCTTCACTGACGACTAGCCCCTCCAGGTCCATGGAGTTGTCGTACAGAAACTGGGGCAGTGCTGACATGAAGCTGCCCAGGGCAACCACGAGGCCCGAGATGCCGATGATACGCGATCGGTGGTATCTGCATACGGTGGAGAGAGACAGACAGCAATTTTTGCGACGAGGTTTTTTTAAACAGCGGCAGAATGCCAACGTTAGGAAGGTAGAATGTTATCGCATTAGGGGATGTGGCGTGCCACGCTAAGAAGTGATCTTTTCAGGTCAATAAGTTGAAATGGGCCTTTTCCCTTGAATCGACGTTGTGCATGTTACACATTCCCGGTAAGAACTCCTTTCCGCAGGGAAAAGACCTCTTGAGTCGACCTTTTGTGCTATCTCTTCAAAGCAAAGTAGTTACCGGAAAAAAAGGCTGCCATGTGCAACCTCTGTCAAAAAGTTCAAGGCTACTATAATTTGGGCAGGAATTAAACAACCTTATATAGGATTTTTTTCATACTGGAAACGAATTGAGAAAAAACTATCGACGATCCGAAACAAAAATGTCATTCTACTGTTTCTTTTGCATACCAACAATCTCACAGAAGCCACCTCGACCTGCCCAAGACCCTAAAAATACTTCTGAAGCTGCCACGTAATTCAGGTGTCTATTATAATATATTACCAGCATGCTTTGTATGGTGGAATTTTGATATGAACGCCCGGCGTTTACTAGCAGCGGTAAGTAGGCAGATCAGGTAGCTTTTTTTAGAAAAGGTGTTGTGTTCCTAAATTGGAATGAAGGATGCACATACTTTATACGTTGGTTCATATCCACAAACTAATTGCTAAACTCCTTTTTTTTCTAACGGTTTTATATCGCCCTACAATCGCGTTATATCGCTATACTATTACGTTATAATAAAGCGGTAATTTCAAGGCGTTGTTACACTGTATTACGACATGCGTGTATTTACCGGATCGTAGGTCTGCACTCTTTGTGCTGGCTCACTTTCATGTACATGTATGCCCACACACACTGGCTTAACGCGGTAGTACATGTCTGATACAGCCCTACAAAGGCCTGAAGTTTTACAGCGTTGTAACGCCCTATTAGGGTGCTATGTATAAAGCACCATAAAAGGTAATAATGCAGTACTACGGCGGTATAGCGGGACAGTACAGTACAGCGATATAACGCTGTAAAGAGAAAAAACAGACTTGTGCAACAAATTGGCCAATACGAGCCACCATACTTACTTTCCCCCCATGTGTGCGACAAAAAGCACCCCACAGAGCGCCGATATATCGTTGAGGGACATCAGGAGTCCGGACTCGGAGCTCTTGAGCTGGAACCTCTTCTCGATGGTGGAGATGACGGCGGAGAGGTAGATCCCTGAGCACCCGTACACGCCCAGATACAGCAGGCCCGTCATCAGCACGAACGTATTGGGGTGGGCCACGGCGCGCATCAGTCGGCGACATACGACTCCTGCGTCGAACCCTGGGCACAGCGACTCTCGTCTGGGACTCCAGTCGCTGTCATCTCCGCTAGCGAAGTCAAGTGGGTCGACGTCAGCGTTGTGCATCGATGGCTTCTCAGTGGGAAGGTGATGGTATTTGGGGTGCGAAGTGTATTTCTGATCTGCCGTCATTTTTAGCAGTGTCTCAAATCAGCTTCTAAAACGATCATGAAGAAAACGCTACAGTGGCTTGTAGCTTGGCCAACCAGCACCTTCCCTCAATGCGGAGTGCAAAATTCTTACGGAAAAAACTAAGTTGTGTATCGTTATTGAAAAAAACACTGCCGTTTAGACTCAAAACATGGATTCGTCGCCGATAGCCACAAACAAACGTATTCATGTAATTTCTATTTAAGTGGTAAAAAGCCGTTAAGTCATACACAGTGCTATTAGTCCTATAATTCAACACTTACTTTTTGCTACATAATGCTCCTCTAAAAATGGACTTTATGTTGTGTGCGAAATCAGCTGAGTTCCACAACCTTTGTTATCAAATACCTCGCGGACCAAAGTTCAGGATCCGAGCTTAGGCCTAGGCCTACTTATAAAACTATGGAGGTTGTACTTCCATGCTTAAACTCGTGTAGGGCCTACATTAAACCTTCAACAGCGACGCCGTCCCATCAGTGAAAGGGTCCCATGGAGAATGAATTCACAAAAGACAATGATTTTGCAGATTCGCGAAGCTTTGCATGGATCATAGAGAGCCAGCTCCGTGCATAAACAAACGAGATAGCTGGCGCTTTGCTCCATCCTGCGATTAACACCTAATGGCAGGCTTTCGTGTAAAACTGCTGGTGGTCTTTGATAAAGGATTCGAACTTTGAAGTTTGAGGAGACATGACAACGGCCATGCACTTGTCGCACCAGAAAACGTGTTAAAACCGTAACCATGATCGCGATACAGTGAGGATCAGCCGTTGCACATGATTCTGAACGAGGACCATTGTACCTCATCCGCATCCACTCTAATTTGAAAACAGACAAACAGAAAAAGAAAAAAGGAAAAGCAGAAAAGAGCCCCAAAATATGGATCAGTGATTGAGTCGTGCTTGCTCCCTCCCACTATAGGAATTCCATGTACATGTAATAACATTAATCCACGCACACTCAGCTCTTAAACTCACGATACAACCGTACAATTTTGTCTCGATAAAGCAAAGGAGCCTATGACCAGATCTCGTCCATCTGCCTGTGGCTTCAAACTCAGCTCAGCAACAGACCATATGGCTGAGTGTACGGGATAAATATAGGTTTCTGCGCAGCAACGAACAGATTAACGGCAATGGTGTTGGAACAGTAATGACCTCAGGCTGGTTTCAGCTGCTGATGAATATGTGTCTGGTTAACCAAAACTAACGCCGCAGAGGGGACGAAGCCTAAATTTGGAGAAATTCTATTGGGCTCTCAGAACAATGGACTTTTGGTAGCGCTTTGCAAAATAGATGTTATTGTTGAATAATAATGGTTCAGTGTGAAGTGGACGGCGTAAAATAGTGAGTCAAGTGAGTTTCGGACTAATTATAATATATGTAATAAACAAGTGGAAACTTGACCAGACATGCCGGGACGGTCAGCTGATGAAGCCTTTGTGGCACTGTCCAGGAATCCGGAAATGAGCACGAAATCGCGTAGACCCGTAAACAGGGCAAATATGCTCCTTCGTCATACATTGGGCCCTGTCTCGATCGATAGCGATTTCTTTCGATCAAGTTTATCCGGGATGTCAAGGGGTATAATCAGACATCCGCTGGATCTTATCAGCTGAAATTGCACCAGTATGTTCAATACTTACGCTGCTAACTATTCCCTAGGTTGAATGTTTGAAGAGAAGTCGCCTTTTCCTCGTTTTGAAGAAAATATGCTCCCTTCAGTTTTCCCCACTCATATCATGCCACTTCGGACGAATTTCACGTTGTTCACCCAGCACTGCTGGTGTATAACGTAGTTCATAATGGGATTATCAGTGGGGCGGCGCATGACAGGGTAAATCCGGTCCTGTCTCCTGCAACTACGGCTTTGAATTTTTATCAAAAGAGGCAGCGGTGATTGTAGAGCTGTAGCTAGTGTTCGATACTTTTGAATGCCGTAGTCTCAAATGGAGACGCTGCACCGCGTTTTGCCAACATAGTGTGCAACATAAACCGTTGAAAGTATTTCTTGTAGGGGTTTTCCTGAAGATATACCCCACATATATATTTGCATTGGACATTTGCAATGACACATGATCAAGCCAAAAGTGCATTTTTTTTAAAGAGATATATATTTCACGCAAAATCGTCATTGGAAGCGAGTATCAATCATTGACCCTACTAAACTCCACGTTCTGGATTCTCGGTTAGGCCTAGGCAATGAATTGCAAAACGAATAAAATTCCAGCAAACCAGATTTTTACATTGGTGAATCTGGCTTCAAATACTTTTGCAAGCTAATAACCATCAAGATGGCCTTTATTTCAATGCTGGCTTCATGATTTACATTTTTACGAAAGTGTTGCAAGAATAGGCCTATCATGAATTTCTTTTCTTTTCTTTTTTGAACGAACAGAGAAAATGAACGGATATTCACTCCTCGAAAAAGGCTACTGCATTATTTGCTCACAAGATCAATGACTAACAAAATAATCCATCAAACGTTTCGTTTCCATCACAAAAGCTCAGCTCACTGGTGTTCCAGTGTACGACCCTGAACAATAAGCAAAACTTAGGAAGGAAATGTACGTGATTTTGGCTCGACTTGCACAATGATTACAAGGTCAGGGACCAAACCACAATCTAGCGAGAACGCCAGACTACTTAGTATGCATACGTGCTCGATTGTGCAACGATAATTTTTGAGCTATTAGAGCACGGTTCGCAGATGACATTGATCTCTTTATCGGCCAAAATTTCAAATACAAATTGCTCTGATTGATCAAATTTACGTACAGGAAACATACTACCCCAGATCGAAAAAAAAAAATTTCCTTTCATTTAATTGATATCTGTAATAGCGGATCAAGGAGATTTTTGGGGGGGGGGCGAATCTCCAGGTTACTGGATATACTTGAATTCGTTGGGTAGGCGAGTTGATGAAAACGTTTACGCGAAAAGAACAAAGCTTTGCTGAAGTTTACTTTATGCATGAAATGTTGCAATAAAAAATCTCCATCGATTCACCGCGGCCTTATTACCGTGGCGATTTTCCAAAATAGCGATCGGAAATAATTTCGCCATAGACTCCAACGGTAACGTCAATGCAGCCAATGTTGGCTGTGGGCATTTCAATTAAATTTCGTTAGTTTCCAAAAAATTTCGCAGGAAAATGACATCATTTTTACATGACCTGGTGAAATAACGTAATTGCCGCTTCAGTGAAAAAGCGATAACCCGGCAGAAACTAAGGACATCGCTCCCCGACCTGATTACAAAGACTCCTTTGTGTGGTTGAGTACGAGTCGAGTGACGGGGGCCGGTACAATTTGCACCCAGACTTCAGACTATAGGAATTTCCTTCTTATCCTCGAGAGTACCTGTCGATCTAAGTGGTCGTGGAAAACTACGGCTGTTTTGTGTCCAGAGCTAGCACGCAATGCCCCAGTCCATTATTATGCCACTTGCAGCGAATCGTTAAAGGGTGCAGTGTCCCAATTCAAGGAAAATTCTCCGCCAGGACGAGGCGCAGAAAAAGTACCCCCAGAGATTGTTTCGAAAAGAGGGGTCTGTTTGGGCCAGGAAATGGTGGAATTGTTTTCAGTATGGCCCAAAATCATCTCTGTAGATTCAGGGGCACCCATCTGGGGGCAAAGCAGACAAAAATGGGATTGAAAATTAGTCAGAAGAGCCCTAGAAGGTGAGGGATGTCATTTGAAAAATGGCCGCTGGGAGGGCTTGGCAACATTCACTTTTTGGGGGGTGAGTTTGTTTTGGGCGGATAATTAAAAAATTCATTGGTTAACCTACTAAAGATTGAAAATCAAATGAAATGTGAAGGACCAAACAACACATTGATTTTTGTTTGAGAGGCCTCAGGGACTTCAGTTGCCTGCCATGGGGCTCCAAACTTGGTTGATTTTACACTATTTTCAATGGAGCTTGAATTAGTTCAGTGCACCCTTAACATGAAGCGCAGCTTGCTCTCTTAAGACGTGACACGAAACAGCCGTCAGTTTTGTGCAAGTCGGGCGAAAATTTGTCCGGAGTGAGGAAAACGACAACTAAAGGCAACATTTTTTGCTCCAAACGAGCAAAATCGAGTTTTCTACAAATAGCAACCTGGGGGACAGTTAGCAGCGTAAGTATTGAACATACCAGTGTAATTTCAGCTCATAAGATCTGGCAGATGTCTGATAATAATAATATCCCTGGAATTATCTAGGGGCAAAGTACTCAGTTTGAAATTTGGTTTAAGTAGTATGCATATGGGGTCCGACATCCGCCCCGCTCCATCCCACCATGATCCCACAAACCCCACAGAAAATGAGCCTTTTCGCCATAGGCTCTACATGACGTTTAACAATAACAGGGCACGAACAGGGATTTTATTATTGTTGTGTACCCATAGAAATGCTGCTCCATTTCCCCCAGTTCGTTGGAGCGGGATGGATGTAGGACCGGACCCCACACCACCTGACCACAGTTCTGGGGGTGAGAACTATCGTGGTTATAATTTACATGTTTATAAGACATGAAAGATGAACAAAGAAATTGACTGGAGTGGGAGCGGAACCTGCGGCCTCCGAAATGCTGTACCGGTACTCTACCAACTGAGCTATCCAACCCTACCTGTATGTTGGTGGCTCTTCGCATTTGTCAATCATGTCAATGTTCGGGGGGCGCTATTTGGTTGGGGCTCAATCCCTGGCTACACATGGCTTCTGGCTAGTGTCCCCCCCCCCAGTACAGATACTGACGATGGGAAGAGCCACAAACATAGGGCTGGATAGTTCGGTCAATAGAGCACCGGTATGGTATTTCGGAGGCCGCAAGTTCGAATCCTGCTCCAGTCAATTTCTTTGTTCATCTTACATTATAATCATTGTAGGCTGAGTATCTAGTCAGTTTCCCCATAGAAAGAAATCACTATGGGCCCAGTGAGAGTATATACACTGTATGTAGGGCCCTGTTTACGGGTCTAATAGTGGGCTTGCCGTAACTTCTAAATGCGACGAAAGTAATGACCTCCTTCCAAGCCTGTGTGAATGCAGTATTGTTTTTGTACTTAATTAAACATGTTATCATTGGCCTTGCTTCTTTTACATCTATCTAATGTTACTTTTGCTAGGCCCCTGCACTGTATATTTGTGTGGAGACCACACTACAATGGGCCTAATCAAATTGGATTGCCAGGTTCGTGTACACTTGGCAGAAATGAAGGGTAAGCTGAGATCCACATGAGATAGCATGCGAGCATCAAAAAGACACTCTAAAAGGCAAGTCAAGATAGACGAGCCAACACACCTACACGGACCTGCGACAGACACCCAGCGAAATTCCCAAGCAAACAGCACAACCAACAGTGGTGGAGCTGGCCATTCCCAACCCACAGGGGTGGCGGGTGCCTTCCAGAGACAGTATTACCCCCACTGGGTCATCATCGGCCTGATTGCTTTGCTGTTGACTGTCGGTTACCAGCGATGGGACCTGGTCATAGGTTTTGCCAGGGAGTTGCGAGAACACCCTTGGAAATTCGTTGGCAGATGCCCGTCTTTGCATCAGAGAATACCGTGGGGAGCGACCATCGACCGAAGGAGTAATCTTACGCTTGAAGAGTTTCGTCGAGTCTACGATGCTCAAAGGTCAAATAGAAACCCAATTTTTTCCCCCAATTGTAATGAAGTAAAAATATGGTAAACCAATGGGAGATGGCAGGACTACATGTACCATACATGTGCAACATCCAAGGTCTGCGACTAAACGATAATACCAGGCCAGGGCTAAAGTTTATATAGCCATTGGGTAGACAATATTGCTGAAATTTTTCGGGCTTTTTTTAAGAAAAGCTCAAATGAGAGAACCACTCTGCATTCCAGGTATTTTGGTTTCCTGTGCATTGCTCCCATGTAAAAATGGCCACATGTGCAATATGTTGCAGATTCTGAGATGAAAATCAGCTGGTTGTTGTGTTATAAATACCGCGGATACTCACAGATCAAAGCACTCACAGTAACTCTGAGAACCTCATGAATCGTGACTCGGCACCTTTCACTGGTTCTTCACAGGCTTCATTGCCTAAATTTCTGACCCCTTGAGTAACAATTTTTCTCGTGCCTCCCTTTTGCTATCTCTTGACAGACCGGTTCTGATTACCGATGTACTGCAGGATTGGGGAGCGATGCGCTGGGACGCCGACTTTTTCCTATCGCAGTACGGCAAGCAGCGAGTGGTAATGAAAGCCGTTGAGGTAGGTAGAATCATTTTGTCGGTGATGTTGACTTCTGTGGAAGTGTGCAGCTCGATGCTGTCATTATGGCACCGAGGGAAGATTTAACCAGCATTTTTGCACAGATCACAGAACCTGGTCTGCCCTCACTGGTACCCACTTTGCTCCTGGGTGGGAAGGAGCAGCTACTGATAAAATATATGAAAGTCACAGAAATTGGACCAAAAAAAACTGAGAATGCCCTGGAATTCTGTAAACAGCCAAAAGACAGGGCAAGTTCTATTAAGGACCATAGATAGTTCGACCAAGTCTGAATGAACACATGCTAGTTGACGATGGTTGGACTTGTCTAGTCAACTATTCACGACCAGCCAATCGAGATCGGTCGCATCATTGGTAGCCATAACCGTCTTAAATAGCACAGTACAGAGCAGACCAGTTATAAGAAAAATGCAGGAAAAACAGTATGTCCCTAGTAAATGACCATTTCCACTTTTATTTTTGCTGTTTTTTCCCTTCCTGCAGCCACCTTTTCCCCTCGTTAGCCTAAGACCTGACAGCGGAAGACCAGGGGCATTCGCACTTCATCTTCACTGCACATGCGCTACGTACATGTACATCACGAACAAACCACTAATTAACTGGTCTTTTATCAGACTTCCCCACATTTGTAGAAAGGTCATTGCAATCAAGATCATGCCTGAGTTATTTTGGCTGGGCTGCTTTTGATGTGATAAATTTACTGGCTCTCCTTAGTCAATAGTAGTGGCTTTGACGGTCTTCTAGTTCTCTATAGACCGATCCGTCGGGACGCCATTCCGAGGGGCCATTTACACTCATGCAGCTGTCTCAACCTGAGCGCGGACGCGCACTTCGGCAAATTGACTACTGCCTATTGGTCAAGGAGGAATTTCACATGCGCACACTGCCTACATGTGAACAGGACGGCCCTGTAGTAATGGCTTCTAATTTTGGTCGTCAGATTTGTTTATACCACGCAGCTTTTCTCTGGAAAATGCATTAGATATCACAGAAATTGTCCTTATTTAGTCCTAGCAAAATCCCACATTTCACACAACAAAATGTAATTTGTGTCCGCCTTTCCTTTGACACCTGCACTAGGGCACGCTGGATCAAGCGGAAGGCTTCTCGCTGCCGCTAGAGAGGTTCATTGCTCACCGTCACCAGAGCAGCCCTCATCACTGGACCTACGTGGAAGATGAGCTGCTCGTCCCGCACACAGCCGAGCTAAAGAAGGACATCGGTTCTTGCGTAGGTGTAACAGGTGGAACGTTCCACTTTCTGGCTGCAGGCCCACGTGCACTTTTCCATTTCATGAGCAATTTTTCAGTGTAAATTTCTTGGAAGCGGGATTTTTTTCAGAGTTGAAGGCAAAACACTTTACCTTGGGTCTGCTGTACATTACCAGCACCGTGTTATAAGTCTAAACTGAGGGTCACTTGAAGCACTGAGAAAGTCCATCTCTGTATACCTAGTTACAGTAAGAATGGTTCAGCTTACAGAAGTCGATGCTAAACCAAGTTTGCCCAAATTCTTCCATATTGATCCTTTCATTTTCTGCTTGTTTTTATCACCCCTTTTCTCTTGAACGGTAACCCAGCCTTATCTAGAGGAAGACTTCTTTAAGTTGTTCCCCCAGGAGATTCGTCCGTGGGACGCCATGCTCCTGTGGGGGACTAAGTACTCGCGGTCCAGCCTCCACATTGGTAACAAGCACATCTTAGCTGTCTGTCTCTGGTTGGCTTTGTCAGCATGCTTGTCTTGTAACCTTCTACAGGCCTTCGTTAGAAGCCATGAAAGCGGTGGTACATGTACCGTGCTTGTAGTCGTGAATCCAGGTCTGGGTCCAGGGGTGGTGGCAAAACAGATTTTTTTCCCAGAAATGACTGTCCAATTTTCTTGATCTGGAAAGGAATCCTCAATAACGTTCATAGAATGCTGGTGCTGAATTTCTTAAAATCGTTTCAGTTTCTTGTGAAAAAAATTGGCAACATTCCTGTATGGCATTCTCTCCCCCATCCCAACTGGAGGTGCGTCTTTATGCCGGCTGTTCACGCATAATTCGTTTTGAACTTCCACATTCAGTGCCTCTTTAACCGATAGTGCTTTGCCAATATGCATACCATATATAGGACTACATGCAGCATTGCACCCCAATGATGGCCTTTATCTCCTCAGAATTCTCTATGAAGATCAGTCCATCAGCAAAAACCACCGTGTCCTTTATAGGCTCAAAAAAAAAGAAAGAAACTGGAGCATTGTACAGATCTGTCTGTATTTGTACGTAGGCTTGTGCTAATATACATGTGCCTCTGCAATACATGGCCTAGCTGTCTTTTTGCTCCTGATGTGTTTGTCCATGATTAAATTTGTAGCTAGTTGCTCTTCAACAAATAGTAACTGGAGTAATGTTTAAAGTGCATGCTTGCTGCTTGTTGATTAAATGCAGTCTTTGTGACTAAATTCTGTTTCAACCTTCTGATCTGTGTTAAACAAATGTATTTCACCTTTGTTTATGCTCTCGGCTTAGAAGCACTTTGCTTTGACAGAGAAGGGCAGTTTTCCCACATGGAAAGTTTGCTGTTTGGAATTGTTCACATGTGTTGCTAAAAAAATCTTCCTGTTTTTGGATTGTTTTGTCATACAACAATAGGGTTGATCTCCTCGATTTAATTTACTGTCTGGTCTAATAGGGAACATCAAGGTTTGTAGTCGAGTCATGTCTGAGATATTTCCAATTTCTCCAAGGCACTTGTCATTTTTGACAAATCAATTTGTTATCCGTGTAGGTTTCTTGAGGAAGAACAGTGTTTTCATCTTAGCGTGGGTAATCAGTAATGGACATTACCTTTTAAAAGACATCACTGTTTAGTAATGACACAAGTCATACCGAGTCGTAGAAATTGGACAGTGAGTGAAAAGACTATGACTCTTGGAATACGCCATAGAAATTCATACATTATGTTATTCTGACTTTCTTTTCCCTCTTCCTGTTTGGTGCTGTAGATCCCTATAATTGGACAGGAACCAATGCAGTCATCAAGGGAGTGAAGCAGTGGAAACTGTACCCACCTGGGCAAGACGAGCATCTCTATATCCTGCCTGACCGCATGTCTGGTTTCCCGCTTAAGAGCTACAAATACAACAGGTGAACAAGTAGATTCTTTGTAGTAAGGGTCTTGCTGGGTCCAAATGACTGGCAATAGATATTTCTTTTGCTACATCCAAATCGCAAAGTTTGCCAGCCAGGGTTGGCAAGACTGTGACTCGCTGTAAATAACTTGCAAAGTGTTAAAAAGTGTGGTGCCAAAATTACACCCCTGAATGGTAAGTAAATATGGAAAATTTCTTCTGTGTTAGAGTCATTGAACAAAAAGCAGATTTTGAGGCAAACCTTCATGTATACCAAGGGAGAATGTTTCGCAAACGTTTTTTTTGCCTGTACAGAATGGTGGGCAGTATTTGTAAACAACAGAAGGGTCCACAGTGTATTCCCTTAGGTGTCACTGGTTAGTGGTTCGAGCCACTTTCCATGGAGGTGTGTTTTTATATCTGGCTACAGCCAAGTAAACCAGACTAGTCAGCGAAGAAACATGTATTTTGTTGACTGTTCCAGAAACCACAGTTGGAAGCCTTTACTGCCACTTTAGCACACTTGCATACAGGTTTGCACATGTTTATGGGTGTGCTTGTTTTTAGGAAGTTGTGACTTTGCATATAGGCGGCGAAAGTGGTGGAGCCAGAGGGGCCTGTGGTTCCCCCACTTTTTCGAAAGGGGGGCTCCCCCCCCCGACACACACACTTTTTGCATGGCCTATAATTGGGTGGGGCTCCATGGATTGAGCTATTAATAACCGAGGCCTGATGGTTTAACAAATGGCCTCCCCACTTTGAAAATCACTCCACTGCCGATGTCGAATGAAGTTTAAGAACATAAGAGACATCCAAGGACTTTGATACATCGTCTCCCTGGATTAGTCTCTGGTGAGGTTTCAGACAATGTTTCAGTAACTTAAAGTTTGACCACTGCTTCAAAAGAATTGCTCAGAGTCTGCTTTCTGTGAACAGATGTTCATCGTTAAAATCGTGTTTAATCCCTCAAAATCCACTTTGCTGTGCAACCCAACCAAGTTATCGGATCAATGCAAGGATTTTATTCTTGTTACAAGTTGTGTTTTGGACTTAAGTGTGTACCTTTGTTTTGTAGCCCCGTCGATGCCTTTGATCCCGATTTGAACCGATACCCAAACTTTGTCAAGGCCGAGGCCGTTGAGTTCACCCAGTACCCAGGGGAGCTCCTCATCATTCCAACTGGGTGGTTCCATCAGGCGTACAACACTGAGGAAACAATAGCAGTCAGTGGGCAGGTCATGAACAGGGCAAACTATAGGTAGGTTCCCCCCCCAGCTGATTTTACCTGCCAGTTGTCACAAATGTGCTGTTGATGTGTCAGAACTTGACAATTCAGATTTGGATACAAAGTACGCAAAAAGTGACATGGAAACAAGAGGCGGAATGAATCTAGACCAAATCTAAACAAGAAACACTACACATTGTTTTCAATCTTTCTGCATTATCTTTTATTCTATCTTGGCAGGATGGTGTTGGAGGAGATTTTCAAAGCTGGCAATGTCAATGTTGAATCCCTACCCTCCAGCTTTTCTGACATGGCACCCGTAGACCAGGTTTGTTTCCTGTTGGTCTGGAATTTTGCTCTGAACAATTTGATGTAAAAAAAAACTCAAAGTTTGTTAAAAATTGGTTAGAGTTACTAGTTTGGCATTGGGGTTTCGCACAGTGACTAGTGGGACAGTTCCTGAAAAATATATGAGGAGCACTGGGATCAGTTGCAAGTCATTTTGAATCAAATCAATCCAGTGTTGGTTTAGATGGCACAAGTCATCTCAAGGCTCACTTCTTTTCATGCCTTTGTTACCGCTATAGGTGCGGACAGTTATGGAGGCGATACCACAGAGTATTTTGGATGAAGGTCGCAGGGTCACCGAGCTAGCCCTTAACCAGGTCAAGAGCAGATCGCATGAGCACACCCGAAGCACAGTTGATGTGTAGAACGGAGCAACATTAANCAAAGATCACACAATTCGCTAAATTAAATGGGGAATTCCCAGATCCCTACATTAACGTTCATTCAGATAGCAGCAAAAATTTCGAAGAAACCTCAGCTGTTGGTGTCTCGAAGCTCCCATCGTTGTTTGCTTTTTGTTTGGAGATCGCCCCAATTTACTTCTCAAGTTGCATTTGTTATTAGAAAAAAAATAAGAAATCTCGATGTTGAAGTACGTTGGCAAAAGAAGGAACAAGCAAAGGTGTCCAAGGAAGTTACCTGGACATCCATTAATTTAATTACATATTCACATATTTGATGTGATCCTTTATCCATTACAGGAAGCTTTAGAAAAGTCTTGACTTTGTTATTCTTGAGAAGATAAATAGTTTTCAGAGTGATGTCAGTTTCATTACCACCAGTATTAGTTCAATTAATAGTATGAATATTAGGTTTTTAGGGGAGGGCTGCTATCCCCCCCCCTTGGTAATTAATTTACTGTAAGTGTTGCATGGCACTGGGGAGCTACAGATTAAGAAGAAAGCAGTAACATCTACAACTCATGGCAAAAATGAAGACTATCATGTCTCGTGTACTGAGGGAATGAGAATTCACAAACATGGTTTACGAATTCCAAAGTTTTTAAGAAGTACTTTTAGGATTTTAATTCAGGTCAGATTGTGAAAAGCTCCTGTATTGTGACTTCTGTATATTCGAGCACCGTTTGTACTATTTATTTGTGGTTTTAATTAGTAACATTTTGCACTTCAAGAGACATGTTCAGTGAGCGGTTATTATTTCCGTGAATTCTGAGAGAACAAATTAAAGAATTGATTGTCCTTGATGTGGTGAAAAGTTTGGGTTCTTTTGCTTGCACGTTTTGTGCCGGGAAGTTGTTTTATTCTTTTTATTTGTGTGTTTTCTTTGGTGGTATTCTTCAACTTTATCATGCCATGGGTTATGTGTAAGACGTCACTTCGGTTGGAGCCACGCCCACTGCACATTGAGTTACATAGAACCGGAAGTTAACGCGCACGTACCCCGGGATTGTTTGCACGTATTAAGTCACGAACCGGACATACATGTACGGGAAGTTGCTCGACCAGCAGTTCCAGTGAATGAGAATTAAGTCCCCCCCCCGAAAAAAATGTGGAGGCAATAACGGAAAGAGTTCTATATACACACGCCACTTGACACCCTGGCCTTTTGCACAAACCTTATGCTACTGGTCTGAAAATTTTCAAGTGTTTTCTAAGTAAACGACTTGGTTATTTCCCTCCTGAATTGAACTTTTTGGACACGTTTTTGCTTTGTGACGGCTAATAGGTCACTGTAAGGAATAATTACGGCCGGCCGTATATGAAACTCTTCCGGACAATAACAAAGCACATTTTCTTTTTAAACGAAATTTCCCGTGCATTTTCCGCGCGCGCCTGTACCGTACATGCAAGGCTTGCACACATAAGCGTACGTCAGGCTGAAGTTCTTGCCTCAGCACAAAAAAAAAGTCAGTTTAAGCAATCAACAACAGAGGTCGCTGTCAAAGATGGCCGCCTACATGGACGATGCACGGTGTTCATGTACACGTACGTCATTCATCGACATTGTTACTTTGTAAATAGGGTCTTTCCCGGAAATTTTCCTGGATTCCCAAATCGTTTGCTATCTGAGTGTGTCAAAAAACCAAACTGAATAATTTTATGCGGTGAACTTAGTGTCCCTAGGCTCTTGGCCTGCGTTGTACAGTCCTGACATTGTGTTCTTCCATGCATTGACAGTGTCGGTGTATTTTGTAGGGCTAAGTCGTCCGTGTGCGTGCATCTCTTCAGGTGGGATTAATTTGATATCACTTTTATCAGCTGCTGGTACCTGCTGGTCTCCTGGTATGAACAGTTTGTACACGTTTGAAGCAGATGATAAGATTTTGTTTTGATCTTCGGGTCAAAAAAGGTTGGTCAAGTTCTATTATTCTTCTACTGTTAGCTACTTTTCAAAAATCCACACACCCGACATGCCTGAACATGTACAGCATGACAAGCCTAGGCTAGCTTAGCATGTCTACAAAAAAATGAAGGAAAGAGTTCCACCTATGGACAACACTTGTTGATGCCCCTGTCAACTGTGCACATGAGCAGTGATGAGACTTGTCTGAAAAAACTAAGTGTAAAATGCTTGAAAATTTTCTTGACTAAATTCCATTTTTATTGCATGTTTTCACTTTGCTCAATTGCATAATACCCCCCCACCCCACATGATCAACCTCATACTAACCAGGCATGCCAGGTACAGGTCAAAGTGTCACACTCTTCACAAGGGATTTCACCTTTTACCCACGTAACCAGTCATTCCAGGGGTTGCTTATTTTAGAGTAGCAGGGTATTCTGCAATTACTCCAAAATGAGTTTTTAAGTTGGTTTTAATAGATTCTTGTCTTTTCAATGTTTCCTTTGCAAGCTTTGCACAAGTAGTAGTCTAGTACTTTTAGTAGCTAGCTTAAGTGACATTGATGGCAATGCTTCTAGTGCTAGGCTCATGACATTGTGAATTTCCCAACCAAGGGTCAATATCATGAGCATTAAGGCTGTAGTTCCACTAGTCATGCTAGTTTGGTCCTACTACCATGTTGTCTTCAGTATGGCTGGCCTTCATTGGCACCGACTATATGCAGTCTGACATCAAGGCCTGACTGACTGACCGACATTGACTGAGATATTATTCAGGCAAGATAAACTATACCTTTTTGACAGGTGAGCCTACCGTTGAAAAACATGGCTTCAGGTTTACCCATTGTCACCTTCTTCACCAGTTAATCAGTTAATGTTTTCAAACAGTCAGCCATTTTTGTTTTGAATTGTTTACCAATTAAACACACTGCTAGGCCCATAACTTCTTCCATTATTTTTTTCAAGATCTCCACCAGCATAGGTAGGCTTTTTATTGTCCGTGACCATATAGTTGCCTGGTCCCCAATTTTGTACATTGTATGTATCGTCAAGTCTGATTGGTTTTAACAGTTAGTGGTGAAATGAGGGACCCGGCGACTATACCGTCATACTGGTTAGTTTGGTTATTTATACTGTTGCCATAAAAAGACCCAAAGTAACAGGGCCATTTGTGACCCTCTTTATAGGCTAGATTCAGACTGAATCACCTATCTTTGCCTTTTTATTTGAAGAAACAAAAAAATTTTTGTGTTTTTGTAGGAAATAGAACATAGGATACTTAAACCGAGGAATTCCAGCCGAGACATTGCTCATGGCAGAAGGTGGTGGTGGGGATGGGGACTCCCCAATGGATGGTCATGACGGTAAGCCATGAACAAGCCTTTTGATTAATATTCTTCAGGATTTTATTACCATACAAGTACACATAAAATGAAAATGTTTAGACTTCCTGTTTTGATGGTTTAGTCAGTGTTGTAGCCCAAGCTACCACAAGACCAATCACAGACAATAGTGTAACCGATGACAAAGGAATGCTTTCATTGCAGTTCATTAGAATAGCTTGTGACTTGAATTCAGACTGGAGGTCATGTGTCGGTCTTGTGATGGTCTGAAGTGGTCTTGACTACACCACTGGTTTAATCATGTGGGACATGTACAGTACGTACATGTACTGTACCTTAATGAGAAGTGTTTATTCTCGTGCAGTCTTGGTATTAGCCTAAAGACTTTTACTGGTTGACATGGTCCAAGTCATGACATGTGCGTACATGTACTGTATTTATTTATTTGAAGCCAAAAATCACAATGCATATTTTTGTATTTTGCTGTTGCCTCCAGTGGCAATCCTTACTTCTAGGACCCAGGCATTAAAAGCGGAGATTTCATTCAGGACTGACTGATAGTGCAGATGATCACACAATTGATTTAGCTGATCAATCGATCATGTCCAACACTGATACATGTACATCACGTTTATCGCTTTACACACCCAATTTTGCACAATGCCTTGCTCTCCCAGAAGTGGACGATGGTGCCCGGCGCTTCCGGACCCAACACAGTTACCACGAGGTTAGCGAGCAGGCCACCGTCCTGCTGCGCCACTTCATCGTGGACCGCTTCGAGCGGGACTCGGTGCCGGGCGCACCCCGCCTGGAGGACCTGGGCCAGGCCACACCCGAACAGGAGGAGGTGTGGCGGCGGGTAGGCACCACCCTGCGAGAGATCGGGGACATCCTGGACCAGGACCGGGAACTCCAGAGGTGAGGGTTGGGGGGAATATTTTGGCACTGTTGGATTTGAGTACTAGCTTCCAAAGTACTTGACTAACACTCAAAATATTACTTGACAGAATGTAGAAGTCTTAACAAGTAGTACCACAAGTATCCCTATCTCTAGTACTCAAGTATCAAGTATATCCCTGTCTCATTTAGCCAAGTAGTACCTAAAAGACACAATAATGCTTCACAAATTTTCACAAGTGCATCACAAATACCCCTGTTTCATTGTTTGTAACCACGAACCGAGGTTAACACATGCCTATTTGCTTCTGTTCACTCACCGTCACTTATGAAAGTGCCGGGACTAGTGACCGTCCTAGTGATGACTTGTAACAAATGCTTGCCAAGTACTTGTGAAAAACTCCATTGCAACATCGTGTTCCGGGAAAAAAATAATACCCTATTTAACACCCTCTGTATGTGAGATTTGACTCCCCCCCTGGTAACAAGGCATGTTTTACCACAAGAACATGCTGTTGACAGAAGGAATGGAAGGATGTTCATTTTACGCTTGCAGGCGACAGGCCTACGAGGGGTTTCAAAGGCAGAGACAAAGGCAGAGGAGACAAAGCGTAGATTAGCCAAGCTCCCCCTGGATGAGCCCCTGCCATGGCAATGGGTGTGATACTTTATTCTTACTTAATGCAGGTGGATCAACTCATTACCCACTGATTCCCCAATAGAGAAGATCATCGCTGTCGCGCAGGTGATATTCGGGGACGGTGAGATCCACTGGGGTCGCATCATCGGCCTGTTCTACTTTGCCTACCGCATATCAGTCAGGGTAAGTGGCGCATTAGCCCGTCAGTTTGCTGCTGCTTTATGCTATGGTATTTATCAGGAATACGGGCAATTCAAATCAGTGCGCCTCCAAGAGTTTGCAACGTGTTGGCGTATCACAACGCGCAAAATCCGTCGACACTTTCCAAACGCGCATTGGGTCTATAGATTTCCCGCATTGTGATTGGCCAACGTTGCAAACTCTTGGAAGCACACTATTGTGAAATGCCCGTGTTGAAAAACTAAAGACTGTCATAGTTAAAAAAAAAAAGACAGTTCAGAATATCCAGTTTGGTTAAAACAAACCAATTCCCCCCCCCCCAAAGGCTGCCCCTTCTGACGTAAGCTCTAAAAATAAAATTGTATCTGTGGTTGAAAACAGAAACAGATGCAAGAATACATGTACATGATAAAGTAATATCATGATTAATTAATCTCAGTGGAAAACAATTGAGCACTTTCATCTTCATCAGTTATGGGGCAAATTCATGGACTACTGGGGTAATGGTCAATTTTGCCCGGCACCCTGCATGTATCTTGTGCAAGGGTTACCAGGGAGAATCAACCGGTCTTTGACAACGGTGTTGCTGCAGAGACTCTTAAGACCATCTCAAGACCCCAGAAGATCATCACAAGACAGACCTCCAGTCTGAATTCAAATCACAAGCTATTCCAATGAACTACAACAAACACATTCTTTTGTCATTGCTAACCCAGTGACTGGTCTTGTGACTGGTCATGTGACTAGGCATGGTGGTCCCTGCTTCAACACTGGTGGACAAATGGCTGCCACACAAACTTGCCCTGCAGTTAGATAAATAGTTTTTGAGCTCGAGAGAGCTCAGTCCAGTTAATGAATACCAGGTACAGAAATACGCTGTACATGTGCACTTTTTATTTAGCTTAATTTATTTATGTTCTTCCAACCAGGCCATGGAGAGCCTTCTCTTACAAAATTTCCCTGGCTGGGTCAACCAGCTCATCAAGGAGATAGTCCAGTTCCTGGTCAGACGGTTTGCTGATTGGATCATCAACAGGGGAGGCTGGGTAAAGACCCTATTGCAATGTTTCTTACCCTGGTAATCAGCAGTCTGCTGGACTCTTGCCTGAGTACAGCATCCATTTTTCATCAGGACATAGGGCCAGAGACTTCCCACAATGTTCCTATCTTTGTCTTAAAATGAGTCCATCAGCTGAGTAGACGGTATTCGCAGGGTACCCAATTTCAGTCATATTCCTAAACGTATTGTATACATTTTAAACCCTTAATAGTATGGTACCAAGTGATTTTGGGGGTCGGAATGAAATCGTAGAATAGAGTCTGGTTCTTTCAATTTCACCGCTTCAAATGAATACACTACGTTGGGGAATCTGACTGAAATTTGGTCTCCTGTGAATACGGTCCATTGAAATACATGTATGTACATGTAAAAGAATCCATGGATCTTTGCCACTGGACATTTTTAATGGCCCTGGCCATTCAGTGGTAGGAAGGCTGGTGTTGGACTTTGTTCAGAATAACTGCCATATAATACTTGTCATGTACAGTACATGTACATGTAGTTGCCTTCCACCATTGAAAGGGCCATCAAGAATGTCCAACAATAGTGTTACCACTGCCACCAGCTTCAACCATACATGTACCTGTGCCGAAATAGGCACTGCTGGACGCATGCTCGAGAACCAGACCAATGAAGCCTTTTATGAAATTACTTTGACCCAAATCTGGTACACTGAGTTCTATAAATTCACATGAACATAACAACTTGAATTCTCCATACTAAAACCACTGTTGCTGTACCTCATTATTCAGGGCAAGCTTTTGTTTAGTTACATAAGAGACGCCTTGCAACAATATACTGTTTTTTAGTGGATAAGAAGGGCACAAAGGAACCAGTCCATTCCAGAGATGGTGGTCGCTATGCGAAAGCTTGCTCCGAATCACGAGGTATAGCAACAGTGTCTTTAGTCTGGGGAATTCAAATCGTTATGTTAATGTGCAATCAGATAACTCATTATACCAGATTTTATTCAAATTTAACTCACAAATGGCATATTTGCGGAGTACTATAATGGTATAAAAGCAGGATTGTTAAGGTGCACAGCAGCAACTAAAAATCAAAATATTAGGAGCTTTGAGTTCATGGTCAGTCCTTATACATGAGGTCAGCCCTCTAGTGTGAAAATGGCTGTGGCAAGATGTGAGCACACATGCTTCTCATGAAAGCTACTGGCTAGAGGCTATGGCTACTTCCCATAGATGCCTGTTTGTAATCTGCAGCCACTTGTTTTAGAGGCACGCAAATCACATGGCTACGGCTGACTATCACACACAAGTCTGTGGGAAATGACCTCTTACTACTTGCGAAGCAATCTGAATGGAACTTGTC